TGGTATTAATGTATTTGATGTTAATATAGGAATGTAAAATGTTAATTCAATAGGATCATTATTTGTTTCAGATGTTGATATTGTTGATGCACGATATGTTGTATATCTATCAGTATTATTTATTTCATGATCAATAAAACCACTATCATAATTATTAATTATTGATGTATCATTTAAAAATGATGATGATAATGATGTTGATGTTATTGGTAAAACTAATGTTGAATTTGAAAATTTAACTGTATGTAATTCAGAATCAGATGCATAATTTGATGATGAAGAATCAGTTGTTATGATTTTTAATTGAATATTTGATGATGGTTGAAATGTTAACCATGATTTAAGTGATATACCAGCATAAGATTTATCTTTTGCACAATTAATTACATCAACAAGCCAACGTGATGAACGCCATATATCATCTAAATCTTGTTGACATGATAATAAATGATTAAGACGATAACGTGATTCATCTAATTCATTTATTGAAAATGCTTCACGTTGAGTTTGTTGTGCACATATTAATTCAAAATCAAGACAAATTGATACACGACTATATTGAGATATAAAACGATAATTATTACTTAAATGTTGTACTACGAATAAATAGAAATTAAAATTATTAAATTAAGATTGTTTTCTTTCATTTTTATAAATAAAAACTTACAAACTTCAAATATATATACAGGTAAATATGTAAATGGTGTTAAACAATCACTTGAAAATGAATGACGTTGAGTTGATGTTGATGTAGTTGAAAGTACATTTACTTCATCAGCTGTTGACATTAATATTATTAAAGAAAGATCATCACGAATCTCAACTACTTGAGCATCATATATACGACTATTTGAAAAATGAGTTTCTGGAAGATCTAAAAAATTATTTTTTGTCTTTTTATTTTGTTTTCATGAATTATATTTTTAATATATGTACTTCAAATAAAAACAATTCAGATTTTATTTAGATTAACAAATTCAAATTAGAGTACTATGCGCATAGAACTTTTCCTACTTTTACTCTACCTGTATGCAAGTGTCAGTAAAGATATAGGTACTTGACCTGTGGCTTGCATTAACTCTAAAACATCGCTAATAACTCAATAGAACGATTAGTCAATTAGTTATGAACAATATTGCTATTAAACAACGCCAATATAAACATGTTTTTTCAAATTATTTATAAATTCTATGGTTAAAAAGGGAGTTTGAGTGTTCAAAAATCGTTACTTTTAACATTCGTATCCATAATTCTACTTATTTTGTACATACTCAAAACTTTTCTGTCCTATCCGTAGCCACGATTTTCAATACTCTAATTCAAACGTTAGTGATTAATATTCGTTTTAAAACTTATATTAATTCTTAAAAATAAAATTTTATTCTTAGTAAATAAACTTACTGAGCATAAGACACAAATCTTTGGCAGCTTCTTGAAATTGTATCTTAAAAAGTGAAATACCAGTTTCATCAGATAGATTTTCTGTTGTTGTTTCATCATCATCATCATCATTATCATTATTATTATTATTATTATTATTAACATTATTATTATTATTAACAGAATTTTTATGTAACCATTCCCATTCTTCTCTATAAAGATTAATGAAATAAAATTTAAAGAAATAAATGAAAATCATTGCTATGAACCTTGATACATTAGCTACAGAACGAATTCTTGTACATGGTAATGAACCGGGCATATATCTATTAACCATAACACGTACACAATCAACACTATTTTGCATTTTTAAATAAGCAACATATAAACCAGAATCAAGACGTCTCATTGATGCATGATAAAAATCAATCATATCCTTTAAGTTTGTTTTTTAAAATAAAAATTATTTTATATAAAAAAAAAAAAAATTTCTCAATAAATTATTTTCATACCGGAAGTTTATCGGTGATTTGTTGAAGCGAAGTATTATTTGTTAATGATTCTGTTTCTTTGATTGTTTCAAAAAATTTAGCCATTGATACCCATTTTAAATTTGGTGGACAAATATTTGTTCGTGTATCAGTTGGATTATTTGATGATAAATCATTAATTAATACAAATGCTATATTTCCATCATTATCACGAATATATGTATGATGAAGACGACCAAGATTATTTATTTCTTCTAATGTCTATAATAAAATATTTCTTGTTGTTTTTTCCTTTTTGTCTTAAAAAAAAAGAAAGAAATTATTTTTTTTTGTAACTTACTTGAAGTTCAATTGCAGCTTGAACAAGTTTCATTCGAAGATAAAATGTTGTTGCACTTGAACATCGTTCTAAATCAGGTCTTAATGTTTTTAAATCATCCCAAACAAATGTTAATTTCATAAACCATTGAAAATCTCCTAATAAATTATGTCCATAATTTTCATCAACTTCAACCATTGGTAGAACATCTTCATTTGTTACTAAAATTTTTTCACCATTTAACATAACTGATACTAAATATAGACCACTGAAAAAAATAGAAAATAAAAACAATTTTTTCTAATTTTTTTTTTGTATATAAAAATTTTTACCGTTTCATTGTTTTAGCTAAACGAGGATAAAGTTGAAATAATTGTCGAAGATTTCGTCGAAGATTTCCATAACTTCGACGACGAGTTCTCATTGAATTTATAGGTGTTGTCATTTCAGGTGATTCTAAAGTTTTGTTTTTTTTAGAAAAGGAAAAAATTCCATTGAGATTCATATATGTTTTTTTCTTCTTCTTCTTCTTCTTCTTAATTAACTATTGGATTAAGGGACATATTGTAAACAAATATAGCTTCTAAAATAACTTTAAAGATGTACTTATTTTTAATTAATATATTTATAATACACAATGTAAAATGTTCTGTTTCTTTAGATTCTTAAATGTACTCAATTAAAGGTTAAAAATAATAGATCGAAAAAACAAAATGTAACGACGAAAAAATAAAATGAGAAACTATCATGCAAAGTATTTATATACAAATAGTGACATAATTAGAATAAATTATTCTTTTGATTGCTATAAACTATTTGAAAAAAACAGTATGAAATCTTATTAAATATTATTAGTAATATAATCTTCTTTGCTTTGATGTGGATTTCATATATTCTATTCGATGTAAATCTAGAATTTAGTCACTGAATACTTACCATTTCCATCAAGAGTTCCATTATTTGTATAATAAGAATTTGATAATGTTGTGCCAATAGCTCCACGTTCATTAATAATTTTTTCTGGTCGTATTTTATTAAGAATTTCTTCAAAACGTAAATCACATACATTTGGACGTGATGTTTTTGAAAATTCACGCCAACCTATTTTATTTATTTTTAATAAAAATAAAAAAAGCAAAAGAAAATTCTTAATAATATGTTAAACAAAATTTAAAAAAAAAATAATTTTTTTTTTTTGAAGATATTTGAACTCACTTGATGGGACACAATAAGGTGGATTAGCAATAGCTGGTGGACCAAATCCACGTATATTTCCAGCTGATACACGTACATAACATTTTTGTCCAATAGGTAAATCTCGAATAACATATTCACGAAGAAAACAGTTTTTAACAATATCACTATGTACAATACTATCGGGTGAAGAATTTTCATCAAAATTTTCATTTGTACACCATTCAACTAATGAACAAAAAAAAATATATATAATCAAATTAAACAAAAAACAAAAATAAATTTATTTTCTTTTTCATACTTTTATATTTAATAACCATAGCTCCATTAGATCTATGTGGTTCATCATACGTTACAGTGATACTATTTGAACCAGTAACCATTAAGCGAACATTTGTTGGAGCATCCGGAATGCCTGAAAAATAAAAAAACTGAGAATACTTATGTTGAAGATTATTCATTCATCATTGGACATTCATCAAAAATGACTAAAAAGTTCGCTTATAGACGGAAATTAATTTCCAAGTAATTAATCACTACGATGGATTTATGACAGTTTCTTTCTTATTTTTGACATTGATAACTTACGTTTTTGATATTTTTCTTGATGATAATAAAAGTCTTTGGATAAATTTGGTGTATTTAATGAAGATGCTGATGATGAAATAGTTTCAGCTGGAAGATTTTCACCAGAAAATGAAAGTTTTCGACGAGATTTTGTTATAAATCGAAGAGCAGTTTTAACAATTAACGCACGAGAACGAAACTTTTTATTACCATCCATTCTTTTTATGAAATATTATATAAAAATATATTTATTCGCAATTAAGACTTCCACTCTTCTATCAGATTCGTGTGAAATAATATATGGAATGTCTATACTCGATTTTGCGTGTTACGCTGTTGATCACACAAAACAGTAATATGCGAAAAACGATATACTGATGTGCTTAATACCTCGACAATAGTTTTTCTTCAACATTGAGATGAACGACGAACAGAAACTGACAGAAAGATTGAGGAAAAAAAAAGAAGAAAAACAAATAATCTACTGTGAAGAAAAAGAATATAATCATATTCAACTTGATGAAAAGTAGTCATGCTGCTTTAGTTACTGATTTAAGTCATGAGAATATGTAAGTAAAAGAGAAGAAAATGGCTTCCCGTAACGATTATCTTTCTCTCTATTCGTGTGGGTTAGAAAAGGATGTATTTTTTTGGCTTCATTTGTCACGGATCCTATTATGTTGATGAGATATAACTGACTAGAAGGTGAAAAACTAAAAACAGAACGAGTCCGAAAGAAATCTAATTAAACGAGAATATCATATATATGACCGACAAGAGAGAGAGAGAGAGAGAGAGAGAGAGGGAGAAAGAGCAGCGAAGAGCGAAACAAAAAGAAAAGAAGAAAAAATACGTCATTATTGCGAACTATTTTGATTTCTATTCTTTTATTTTCTGTCGGGTCCCATCATTAAATAGCCCTATTATATTTTATATTGATTGTTATAAAAAAAAAAAAAAAAAAAGAACCGTAACGGAAATGAGAAAATATAAAATAGTTGAACAGATGTGGTACTCCTTTTTTTTGTTTATGTTCAACAATTTTTTTCTCAATTTGTTCTTTTTTTCTTTTTGTTCTCACCTGCTTGTTCATAATTATCTTTCATTTGTGTCAAAGTTAATGTACGTTGTTGATAAAATTGTTGCTGTTGTTGTTGTTGTATTTGTAATTGTTCTTGTTGGCCTTTACTTATTCGACGATGACGTTGTTGAGTGTCATTTGACGGTGATGAACGACGTAACTAAATTCATTTATTATAAACACCTACGTTATATAAATATAACATACTTGAACATCATCCGTTGTTAATTTATTTGATGAAGATTTTTTTATAGTTTCATCTGAATTTTGTTGAGAAAGAATTGTTAATTGATGACAAACACTTTGATAACGACATTCTTCAGGTTGAACTATAAATAATTATCAAATATATTCAATAAATATGATCACATATTCTAATTGTTTATTATTATTATTATTATTTAAATTCTACATACTTTTAGAACTTTCTTCACCACCATATTCAACAAGAAGTCGAATCATTGGAATATTATTTAACATAATAGCTATATCTAATGGACACCAATCATATTCATTGTACCTATTGAAAATAGGAGAATAAATATTTTCTGTAGTTTGTTGAAAATATTTCTTTATTGAAAGTAAATAACACGATTAAGATTATTTCCGTTTTTTGTAGACTATCTGGTTGGTGATGTAAAGGATGTTAAAATGTCATCAAGTTCCGTTAAAAACTAAGCAATCGATTTTTCTTAATCTCAATTTCCGTTTATAAAAAATATTTATAAGATAATCATATTATAAATGCAAAACAAAATTCTTCACTTACGAATTAACAAGTTTTTCATTAACATGTAGAAGTTGTTTTGTTGCAAATAAATCTGAATCTTCAACAATTTGAAAAATATCTTTTTGTTTTTTGAAAAAAAAAAAAAGAACAAAAAATTAATTAACAATTCTTTTGTTTTTCATTACTTTCAGTAGATAATCTATTATTTGAATTACCAAATGGAGAAGCTGCACTTAATTTAAGTGTAGTACCACTTGGTGTATTTTTTAAATCAACAATTTTATTAAGTGAAATACTTCCAGTTGTATTACGTCGTCGAGATAAATAAGATGTTAAGTCTAATTGTTGACTTTTTGATAAAATTGTATTTGGTGGTGATAATAATAAATTATCTTTAGTATCAACTATTTGTTTACAATTATTTGAAGATGATGAATTTGACCATGAATGTTTTGGTGTTGTTGGTGTTGTTATTCGTCGACCACCACCAGCATAATTACTAAGATTAATAAATAATTATTAAAAACAAGAAAAAAATCTTAAAATCATTGTCATGTGAAGAATGCTCAATAAATTAAATTTAATGTAAATTGATATTAAATGCTCTTATTGTGACAGACAAATGAAAGAAAAACGGAAGAAGAATGAATAAAAGAAAAAAAAAAAAAAAAGTGAAACAATTTAGAGAAATCTAAAAACTCTACTCGAGAATACTAATTAGTTCAAATTGGTTTTTTTCCACAGACAAAAAACAAAAAAAAAAGAAATGAATATTGAGTGAATCTTTTAATTTTTATCGATATGATTTTATTATTAGTAAACACTTACTGAAGTATATCATTTGATTGAGAGGCACTATCATCAGACTAAAATTAAATTTTTGAAAATTCATTAAGATTTTCTTTTTCTTTTGTTATTATAATAACTTACAGATATTCCTGTTGAACAAGGACGAGTTTTAGGACTAAATTGTCGAAAAAGTAATTTTTGAATTAGATTTGGACTTGACGATGGAATTTGACTTTTCCCATCATCTTTATTAAAATAAAACAAAAAAAAAAAAAAATAGAAAAAAGAAAAATATTTTATTTTTAATTAACCTGTTGATGATGCATTTGAATCTCCAGTTGGTAATTCAAGTTTAACAAGAGAAAAACGTCTTGTACCACCATGACGTATTCGATTCATTGGTGTTGATTTAGAAGATTCGAGATTATTTTCATCAGGTAGAACTTCGTCAGATGATATATCACACGTTGTTGATTTACGGAACCGACGTCTAAAAAAGAAACTCCTTTTTAAATATATGATTTAGTTCTTATATGCAATTCATCATCGTCATTACCACCTCTCGTTCGGTTCCTCAAATTTTTTTTTTTTCTTTCTTTCTCTCTTCATGTTTATTCAGGTTATAATAATAGAACAAGGAAAAGAAGATGTCAATTCAATGAAGGTAGTCAACAACTCAAATTATATCAACTAACAAACATCTTTAATGAGTCAAAATGATCAGGCCACTCAAGTGTAATGTCATATAGAAAAAGAGAAAAAAAAGAGACGTCTATGTTTTCAATATTAGCTATGATTAGTTATCAAGTTAGAAAAATCGTATATGTATTGTTTAATTGCATACCTAACGAGTCGATATTTCTAAGAAGAAAAATATCAATAGTTTTGTGAACGTAAATGTCATATATATCGTATATGTTACTGATAGTTTCAACCTGTTTGTCATCAAGTTTAACTTATTGTTGGATATCATGTCATTTAACTCTACTAATAAATTATATTATATCCTTGTCTAAGATCAATTTCTATCATCGATCATAACAATTTCATTAACAATTCTATTTATATATATTAAAAAAAAATTCATCTGAATTGATAGAAAAAGGATTTTCTTTCAATAAATGAAAATATCTGCAAAGACTATAATGAGATACAAAAACTCACAAATATTTGCTATCTAATACCTCCTGGAAATTGAGAAAACGGAGAGAAAAAAAAAAAAAGAATCTATCGAACGAACAACGATGTGCTGATAATAATTTGTATGTATGAATATCTAACGATCTGTCATTCTAAAGCTTTTTTTCTTATCGATGATAAAACAAGCATTTGCTGACTCCTAAATGAATGCATTAGCTCTTAACATAGAAATAATGAAATATGACTAGTTGTTTTAGTGCAAAGAATATCTTTTAAAAGGGTACTCAAGTGAAGGAGATTGAGTTCGATGATGATAATAAAAGACTTCATATTATATTCTTTTCGAAGATTTGACAATATTGATCCCTTAGAATAATTATTTTCATCGAAATTCATACAGTCTAAATGATAATGTGCATTCATTTCACTTTTTTTTTTCTCATTAATCGACTGAAAGCAATCTCCGGAGATTGTCTTCAGATCTTATATATATTGATATATATATATATATAAATTGACTTGATTATTGAAGATGACGGACGAGAAAAAAAAATTTTTTAATAACAAATCGAGAAAAAAAAAACCGACCTTAAAATATTATGTTGTCTTGTTAGAGCCAACATTTGTCGACATCGATTACGAAAACGATGTATATTTGAAGGTCGTTTCGGTTTATGCTCAATATCAGATGATGATGATGATGATAATGGTATATCCATATTAGTTATTAGAAAAAAAAATAAAACGAAAGGTAATAGAAAAACGATGTGCGTAGTTTTTCTTTGTTTTTATCAAGTTGTTATTTCCGTTATTGTTGCTGTTGTCATATTTATTATCATATATTTGTTAAAGAAAAAAAAAAATACGTCCGGTGTGATGATAATGTTCATCAATGATGTAAGCCGAAGGAGATAAATGATGAGAAAACAACATATGCAAACATTCAATGTTAGTAGTAAGGCTATTAACGACAACAAGTGGATTTCCGACAAGTGAAGAACATGTGTGTATATGTTGATGATGAACGAGTGTGGATGAAATGAAAGCGTTTTAGCGTGAACAAATGTTTTTGCCGTCTAATCGCGTCTCATTGTCACGACTATCAGACTTATAGAAATAAAAAGAGATCGAGCATAGTTTTTATATGCAAAAGAGATAGAGTTTGTTTGAAGATGAGACTAAGAGAGATAGAAAAACAAAAAGAGAGAAAGGAAATATCTAAATATGCACGCATTTTCTATTTAGACTTTTTTTTTTTTTTGTTTCTTCTTCTTCTTCTTCTTTTTATCGCTTAAAATAAGTTTTTTTTTATGTCATTAAATGAAAAAAAGAAGCTTGTTAGTTTTTTTTTTTCTCTTCTTCTTTTTAATTCAACTTCGAACATGATTGAGCAATAAAAGCATGATTTAAATAGTAAAGAAGATATAGATTTTATTTTCTCATTATTTATTATCGTATCTTCAATCTTATACATTTTCAATCCCTTGACGATAAGATGTGATGTGATTAACTATAGAATATAAAAAAATAAAGAAGCGAGTAAATACAAGTGATGTTCATCATTCATTCAGATGATAATGACAATCTTTTTCTTTTTTAATAAAAATTAATTTATATATGAAATATTTGATTGGATTATATGAGAATATTTATCTGACACCTACATTATTTTGACTAAGAATCATCTATCTTTGTCATTCTAACTGATGAGAATAGAAACTCTTTTTTTTTTTACCATATTTTTATCATAAGAACAAAAAAAGAGAACATCAAAACACATGATTTTTTATCAATTATTTTTATATAAAAACACATTCACAAAGGAGAAAACCAAAAACATATATATATATATCTGTAAACTACTTAGCTCACTATGTTCTTATGATTTATTATTCAAGCAAGAAAAAATAAGAACATTATCGTTAATCTATAATCGATTCTTATAGACTCACAAGATCTCTCTTCCACTCTTTATGTAATGGACATGTATGTTTATATATGTTCCTCAAAAAAAAACACATATACATATCAAATAAAAAGAATGTATGCTAGATTATCATCGATGTCATAGTACTACCCGTGACATGTCATATATTCTTATATAGGTTTATTATATTTTTACTTTACCTTAACAAAAATGTTGTTGTTGAATCATATATGAAGGTGAATTTGATTATTAAATTTTCGTTTCATCGCTTATCTTCTCTTCGAATTATTAGGACATAGAATATGGAAGATATCGACAAAATCTGGAAATAATATTTCTTTTTTTTTTTTTTTTTTTGTTTTTTCTTCTTCGTATAAACTACATAATATGTACAAGACGAATGCCAACGCTGGCCAATATCAAACAGCCAATCAGTTAGTCAATCAGTCAACTAGCTGTGAATGTCAACAATAGTAACTACAGGAATAACAAAGCACCATAGAGTCGAACGACCATTAATCTATCTTCCTCTTTATTTTGATGTTTATATCAGCCAAAATACAAACGTGTATGTGCGTGCATGCTAAGGGTCAAGCATTGTTTCTCGTTTATGCTTCGGCACATATTCCAGAATAATACAAATGTTTATATATATATATATTCAAGTAACATATGAAGAAATTTTTCTTTTAAATCAAAACAAAAAGGAAATTGTAGAGAAATCTGATTACATTCAATATGATTAATGAAATCATTATGTCATTTTCTTTCTTTTTTTTTTCTGTCATACGAGAAGAACGTGTGGTATTAATAGTCGTATGATAATATACTTTATGTCCTTAGGGAAAGTCCTTTTGTTCTCTATTATCGTTTAATCATAACCATAATATTTCAAAGTTTGTTGTCTCTCTATGTATCATTATGATAAATAAAGAAAAAAAAAAACAAAAAAACTGAACTAAACTAGTGATCTAGTTAGTCAACATCGAAACATATAGTAGCATGACAATCATCACTATTCAATCGTTTCTCTTCATTGAGATCGAGTGTAGCTACGTCAACTTATATCGATAATTCAAGGCTTTCTTCTCTTTTCCGTCATCACATCAAGGCAATATATATTCTTAATCATCAATTGCGTCATCCTAAAGGCAGTTAGTCAGACAATGATCGATAGACAAGCAGCTACGTGCCATTTAATTGATATAGAGAAATTCATCCAAACATGTGCATAAACAAATCTTAAAAGTCAAATGACTAGACTCATCATCAAGGATACTTACCTAGCTATCAGAATACGAATATCTACACAATATGTATATATATATATATAAATAGCCTTCAAAAAGAAAAAAAAAAAAGTTTTTTTGGTTGCTCACGTACATTTGATAATCTTTTGATGACGAGACAGTCTGCCACCTAGATATCTATTAACTTCAAGCAAATCTAATAAAACGAGACGTTACCGATAGATGAAGACAAGAAAATCAAGATAGATGAATGGTGTGAATTCATATTACTCTATTGTCATCAATAGAATTATGATCTACTAGTTTTTACTCAATGATCGTTTGAGAATATACAGGAAATCCTACTTATTATACTCTTTTGTTTTTTAACAACTAGACAACATTTTAAATATGCTTTTATTCTATTCAGTAACATATTTATCACTTTTTCTTTTTTTTTATATTCATTAATAAAAATGTCTATTGCTTTGTTACAAAAAACTTTTATTCATAGAACAATAATAATAAAAGAGAAATATCGTGTTAATCATTTTTTTTTTTATAATATTATAGTGTTGTTTATTAATTGATGTTGTTAGTATAGATTGAATAGTACATCCGTAGTTTATTGATACGTATATCAAATACAATACTTTGTAAAATCATTTTTCTTTTTCTTTTTTTTACGCTTTACAAACATACAAAACAATATATTAGAAAAAAAAAAGAAAAAACCTTATGTTTATTCTATAAAAATATATATTCATTTTTATAAAGCACTTGTCTCAAAATGAATAAAAACGTTCTTACCTTATAGACAAAAACAAAAAAATAAAATGAAAGAATTTCTATTCACATCTCTATTTTCTCATGAACTGTCTATGAATATTTCTTTCTATTTTATATATATATATGAAAGAGAAAAAAAAAAGAAAAGCAATCTACAAGATTTTCAATTAACTGACCTTTTATTGTTCGTGACAGTTGCTGTTGATCGTGTCGTTCGGGAATTTTTGCTACGAATACTATCACGCACATGCCGAAAGCCACCATTGCCAATGGCATAACCTAGTTCTTGATGTTCCTCAACACCACCAAATGAAGCTCGTTTTTTAGCATTCATTAAAAGAGTAGTATTCGGAGAACGAAATAACATAAGTGATGAACGACGATGTAATAAAGAACTTCGTTTTTTATGATGATTTTCATTCATGTTTGATGAAGATAAATGAAAATGAGATTTTAAATGTTCTTGCCACCATCGATATAATTTTATCCAATTATCTGTTGCTGACATATTCGAGTAAATAAGAAATAAACTAAAAAAAAAAAAGAAACCAAAACAAAGGTATTTTATACAAAAGAAAAAGATAATTCATTGTTCTTTTTTTTTTTTTGTGACGATCGGTGACGAATGAATAGTGATACGATGTTTCTTTTTTATCGTTGTTCTTTCCGGTTTCTTTTGTCATCAATGTATATAGAAAAAAAAAGAAAAAGAAGAACAAGAAGAAAAGGCTATATAGTCAGAGTAATCGACAGTGATGACAAGCGAGAAACAGTTCAATACACATCTATACTCTCATCATCATCATCTCTATACATATAACACACAACTTCTTAGTGCACATAATTGCTACTCGTGTCGACAATACGCCAAGAGCAATGAGAGAGAAAGACGCAAACATAAATCAGAAGTGACGCATTCCTTCACTACATACTAAGAGGCCTGTTTAAAAAAAAGAAAGGCAAAATTTAGCTACAGTAATAAATTATTTAGAAATGCGCATATGACCTTCATGTTAGTCGCGCAAGATTGAATCATTTTTGAATTGAACTTGAATAGAAAAAGAAGTCATGTGAAATAAAAAGAAAGAAAGAAAAAAAAACCTGAGTTCCTTCCGATGTAGAAAAAAATAGAGAAGCAATAAGAGTAAAGTTAGCGCTTGTAACTAAGAACGTGTAGGCGGATCGTTTCATATCAGAAATAAGTAGAGAAGAATAATTACATCAGAACACCAATCGTTAGTCGACCAAATAATGAACGGAACAAAGCCGGACGTTTAAATCTATTTCCTCTTTTTTTTTCCAAAACTAAAGATAAACTGTCCTTCAGCCTACATACATGCATCTTTTATGACAGATGAGAATCAAAAACTGATAGAAGGTTCAGGGCACAAGAAATAGAGGTGTCGACCTTTGGTCTGTTTGATATCGAATTATTGTCTTTCATATCAACCAAAGAAACAGATGGATACAATGTTAATTGTGCCAATAAATAACATTACAAACAAGTTGGGATCAAGGCGAATAAGGAAAAAAAAAAGAATGCAATCTATATGTGGATTTATGATATCTATAATTCGGATTGCATGTATATATGCGTGTTGACGACTATTTTCATCACGAAAAAAAAACCAATGAGGCCAATAAGCTCAACTTGGTTTAATCCTTCTTCTTTTCTCACATAAAAACTTCTATCGCTTGAATAATTACATACAGATATATATATATGCTCCTAAAAATAGTAAAACATCGCTTTCTTACATAAACACCGATAACG